TAACGAGTGACAAGCATGAGCAGCAGGCAAGAAGGACCTGCTGCTGCACACACGTCTGCATATACCCAAACCTATCATATCTGCGTACCCCCTCGGATATCTCGGAGATCTGTATCCTGCCGAGTACATACACAAACATATTTTGACCCACTTTGGTCCAATTTGTACCCACATTTGTCCACATACGGACGGCGGAAATCGAGCGGAAATCGACCTCCACTTCACCGCACGGTAAAACATCGAATAGCCTAGGAACGTCTCAGAACGTGCCAACACCGTATCCATGGCATCTTTCGTTTTCATGGCTGGCTGCCGACTGCGGACCGACCGCGGAGCAACATGTCAGACACATGCCAGGCCCCTTCAGTACCGGCACGGGAGGATACCAGGCACGGGAAGATGCCCGCGGCAACCCCGGCAATCAGCGCACTAACGGCAAACGCCACAACTAAATGCGGGACACACAACGGACAACAAAATCAACGGGGGCGCATACAGACAGAACAAAAAGACGCGCATACAGCAACACCACACACACAAAAACACCAACCACCACCACGACGAGTGCACGCCGACTCGTAATGGCAGCCGCAGCAGGTCGATGCAGTTTGCCACGTAATAACACCTTGAGTAATAGGGTATTCATATGCACAACATTCATTTTGTGTATACAACGTGAAAATCCGGCTTGATGCCCCCTAAAAACCTAACTGTCGCAAAAGTTTCCACTTCAACCATGGCGCCGCCAGCAGTTGACAGAGGTGCGCCCGCGCTTGACCCTGAGCGGGCGCCCTGCAGGGTAAACTGCATCGACATGCTGCTGCTGCCCTCACGAGTCGGTGTGCACTCGTCGTGGTGGTGGTTGTTTGTTGTGCTTTTATTATTAGCATCGACCGCGCTAACCGGCTGACCAATGAAAAGACGTCAGTCTCAGTGCGGCGGGAAACACAAAACGTTTCTATAGTCCACTATCTGGGACCCCGGGACCGAGCGTCGTAGGTGGAGCTACGCTATTCTCAGGATTAAAGACAGATACCGTAGTAATAACCGAAGAAAACTGCACGTGTCTACTCAGACTGTCACCCTGCTCTCGACTTCGTTTAGGAGTGCTCTCTCTATCATTTTCTTGCTTTCACCACTACTACCATCACTATTCTCATCGTCATTTTGGCAGAAACTTTTTGGCAGCTCTTCTTCTTGTCTGTCTCTCCGTCTTTTGTTGTGCGGGAGGTCCTCTGGCTCGAAGCTCTTGCTCTCTTCCACGCCATGATTCCCTTCTCGACTGCTGTCTTGGTCTCTGTCTTGTCCTCCTCTTGTTCCCTCTGTTCCTCCTCCTTCATCGTTGCCACTCGAATTTCCCTCATCGCCATCATGATGATCGTTTTCGTTTGTACTACTATCGAA